TTGAGAATTACCTAATTAAGTTGGGAATTGATTTGATTCCTACCCCAATTCCCAATTAAATGAGGAGTTACCTAATTAAATTAGGATTTGATCTGATACCTACCACGATAGGGATTTGATTTACCCTAATTAATCAAATCAATTCCAAATAGGGGAGGAATAATTCCTTTCCATCTATGGAATTATTACTCTGAAACCCTAATCTCTGAGACCATTATAAATACTTGGCTACGCATAAAGGTCAAGGTACGTCTGAAATTCCTACTGAAACTCTGCAGAAATTATTTCTCACAAACCCTAGCCACCACTTTCTTTCTCTCTCTGACACAAGGCTCCGGCCACCACACACGGCTCCGGCCACCCGGTTTTCCTTGAAATACCCCACCTAACTTAGGCATCGGAGGGCCTTTGGCCAACACCCCCTGGGTGTGGTCCTTTTACCCCGATTTGTTTTGCAGGGAGAAAGAGAAGTGGAGAAGACGAAGGAATCTTAGACGAATATTCTCGTGAGGAAATTTGTACAAACAACTGCACATACCCATCTTGAAAACACGTATTAGGGTTTTCTAACATGCAAAAAGCTAGAGAGAGAAACCTATTTCCTCTACACTGATGGCTGGCCTAGGGTTCGCTCAAGACAAATATCTTGATATTGTGGAAGACTAATTATCAAGGTATGTATGTAATTTAAGTCTAATTGAATTTTCGCCTAATGCTATTGTGAAAATCATGACGTTCAAGATCTTGGATCATGTATTGGGTCTTATAGTTTTACCCAATATTAAGTTTACACCGAGGTCTTAAGTTTGATTCCCCAATTTCCATCACTTGTATAAAAAAGTATTTAAAAAAAGTAGTACCACACAGGGTCATATTATGTATTTATCAATGATCTCCAAGGACTTAATATACTTCACAAGTTTGATGCTTCTCACTTGGGAATTGAAACCATGGGAGTTATGTGTCCTCCTTTAACTTCTAGCCATCTTCCAAGATGTCCAAGTATATCACTTTTATTTGTGACATTTTCTGTGCATGGTTACTAATGCATATCCAAAACCAAGGAAGCAAATATCCCAAGGGCACACTCGTGGCTGCCTCTCTGAATGCAATTAAGATACTTAAACATTAGAAAATGCAGATGAATAAAGATCACACACATCACACTAACAGCCAGCTGCATGCAAACCTGTCTCATGCTTCTTTTCTTTTTCTTTTTACATACAAGCCTACTGTAATATGCTGGATAGTACAACACCTAATGACAGCAGACCACCGCCACGACACTCAAACAAGATTGGTGATCAAACAAGCTCAAGCTCACAAGAGCACAAGACTTCCTAGTTATGAAACCAGAGCACACCTAATGTTCTTCTCGATTAAAGCCCTTTCATGTCCGGCATTCTTTTGAATAACTCAAGCTCAACCTTGAGCGCATTTGATCATCATTCTGCTCAGAAAGAGCGCATTTCTTGAGGATGCATAGTCGTGATTCATTTTCGTTCAGAACTCTTCATGTTGTCCATGGCGAAACACATCAAAGGAACAAACTAGCCATAAAGGCAACTCATATGCTTTATCAGTGTAAAGAGATCACCAAGCTACTTCTTTGGATAGCAGATAACGGAAAGTAAAGTTGTGAGGAATCCACTCAATTCCTTTCCAGGTTCTTTTGTGTTGAAACGGTTGATTGCTTTTTCTTTGAAAATCAGGCATAAAATGCTCAATCATCTCCATCAAATCAGCTGAGCACAATCCTGTATCCTTTGCAAATGACTCCACAATCTTTGGAAGAAGGATTTTCTGTTCCTTGTGCACAAGGAAGGTCGATTGGATGTATTCGTGTTTTGCAGTTTCCAGCTCCTCAAACACTCTCTTGGATGTGTATACGCGAACCTGAACAGTAACAGTAAATGAGTTAGATCCTGGAGAACTACTTAAAACCTATAACTGACATGTTCTACTAGTTCAAAGAACATGTTACTCAAACTAATAGCAAAACTTTGATATGATTCTGAAATTCATTTAGTCACATGGAAATTTGTATCATGGCTGCAAACCTAATCTTATGCAGTATAAAATTATTTAGAGAAGCTTCAGTGAGTCAGACTTATGGCCAGAGCCCCAGGCTATTAGTGAGCATGATTTGCAAATCATGATCTTCAAAGAAGGTTGCATTTAAAAATTAAGTCAAAATTGTCATTTAATTAATATTCTCGTCATGTTGGTACATTTCAGCTTGTCGGGATTTTGATTCGTGAGTGAAATTTTGCCAGAAAAAACAATTATATACTCTGGTTAACCCTCTATAACATTGTTTTGTATCTAGCAGAAGCTTATGCTTTAGTAAAGGGACATCATGTACAAACAACAGATACGGTAAGGGCATAGGTGTGTACCGCAGGATCAGAATGACTTCCTGAACAGAGTGCAAAATGCAAAAGAGGTTCAGGATGCTCAATTGCATATGCTTT